GTTTACAGAGGGGTCCCTTGTTGAGCCGTCACGGCGATATAGTAGCAATAATTAAAACGATAGAAATAAAAGTCCTTAAAGTTCTCTCCTTCACTATGACCGGTTTCATTTTTATTTCAATTGTCTTAATTATTATTTATATGTATAAACATAAACAGGGTGGCCCAATGATGTTAGGTCAAATTCACTGGTACCAGCAGTAGTATAATCTTTTTACATAAAAAAAAGAAACCAAGATCGTCAAAACTAGTAAAAAGTTTAATGTTGTTTTCGGGAGCACTATGTCCAGTATCAATAAAAATGCGTTTTGTCTTTATCACACAAGTCATTAAATAAACCTGAAAAGAGAAAAAACATGTTAGCGGAAAGTAATTGTTAAATCTGATGTGTCACAGATTGTCTGAAGCTCAGGCAAATAACCAATCCTAAAACTGCAAAAAATCGAAGTCTTTAAGCCACTTCCACCCCTCCCAAAAGAAATCATGCCCTTGAACTTACCGTTGTACAATACTTGGAAGTTGATATACTTCGTGATTTTTTGCTTCAAGATGAGAGTGACGAGAACCCCACGAACTCCTTTTTCACGTAGCTGAAGAATGAACGGCATTGTGTGGGTGTTCATGTCAAAGAAAGCACATTCTTCAATTTCCTAGAAAAATCAGAGATAACCATCGATTAACACCCTATGAAGGTATAGGAACAACTCCATGGTTCATTCTAATCTAAAACGGACACCATGAATTATGGCCCATGCAGGTGCGTACGCAGGGGGTGTTTTTTGTGGGGGGGGGGGTCGAACCCCCCTCAATTTTTTTTTTGGTGTGTTTTGGAGAACCCCTCCCCCTCATTTAATAATAAAAAAAATAATTGTGCTAACGGGTCACCAAAAAAAAGTGACCTTACCCACCCCCCCCCCCCCCCCCCCTCCCCTAACGGAATGAAATATCGATCGGGCAAATTTGCTCTTACCCGCTTTTGACACCATATCACCAACTTGTTTGTCCCACTTGAGATCGGATTGTAAGTGCACGGCCAGTATTCCGTTATTTTCAGAGGCTCATCATTGAGACGCAAACAAGGAGTTTTGATGGTACGTTTCATGAAGTTGACCGACATGGCATTGCTCTTGGTGGTATTGAATTTCATGTCATTGTCTTTACACCAATTTTCTAATTCGTAAAGATTGTCCTGTAGTTTCGGAGATGCCGATGTCGTGCGAATCTCGATAAGGCTTAGGTCGTAAACATATTTCCAATGATGCTCGATATCATGTACGGCATCATTCACCAGAGCTAGGAACATCAACGGGCCTAGTTTTGTTCCCTGTGGAACACCGCATATTATTTATGCTAAGATTCTTACCTTTGTCGAAACTTCGTCGTTGTTTTCCAGATGTCTGACAAGTAGGGGTCCGTGTCCCCAGTATACGCAGTACTGCCCATTTGGAAATGCTACCTCGAAGTTTGGTATGGTATCCTGCAAAAGGTTGAACATAATATGAACAATGTTGAACATATATGAACAATATTTACAGAATGATAATGACAATGATAATAATAATTTCAATAATTGCACTAAGGCTGTCCTTTGTGATGGCACTGCAATATACTCCAGTAATTACAGGGTACTCAGATACACATGGGTGGCAAATGCGGATTAATATCTTGCCAAAGAACGTTAGCACTGGGCTAACATTCGAACCCTCAACCCTTGGATTCAGAGTCAAGTGAATGAACGACTATACCACACAGGGGCGGATCCAGTCGGCGGCAAGGGGGGGGGGGGGAGGGCCAAATCTTGAGAAATGTTTAGCGGCGAATCAGCCAGCCGGCGAACGGCGAATGAGCGGGGGGATTTTTTTTTTTTTTTTTTTTTTTTTTTTTTTGGGGGGGGGGGGGTGTCAGTGGGGCCGCTTTTGTTTTAAAAAAGGTAACATTTTCGTTACTATCCCATTTTTTAAACCGGTTTACGGGGGCAAGGGGGGGGGGGCGGGCCGTAGAATCGGCCCGTGGATCCGCGCCTGCTACAACGACACCTCCAGAAAAACGGGTGATGAATATTTTGTGAGTCTCGAACTGATTATTACTTCAAGATGCGAAACGATTATCAGGTTAGAATTATTACAGATGTGATTTCTTTGAATTGGTTATGACCCTCCCCCCCCCCACCCCCCCCCCCCCCCCCGTGCACGGACCCCTCTACTTAGAAAACGTTACACAATCAATTATTGACATCGTAACGAATGGAAGACCGGGGACATACACAAGTTATCTCAATAACCATGATGGTATAACACTTTTGTCCGGATTCCAGTGTTTGTTAAACAAACAGAAATACAGTGTAAGTTGTATGGACTTACTCTTATTTAGGATTCCTGTCCATTTTGATATTATTTAATTCAAATTCATCTTCGTACACTTTAAGTTTACCCTAGGAGTCCGTGATCGTGCAAATGTCAAATTTGATTTAGTCATTATGTCATCCAAGTTAGCCAAAAGTCAATCGATATCAACGCTTGTCCATTCCTTCTCGTCAGATTTCATTAGAATTCGTCTCAAAGTACGGTCTAAATCCACGTCACCTCCATGAAAACGGGTGATGAATATGTTGTGAGTCTCGAACTGATTATTTACTCCAAATTCAATCAATATCAACGCTTGTCCATTTATTATTGTCAGACTTCATTCGAACTCGTCTCACAGTACGGTCTAAATTCGTCTTTGTATATAAATCAATTCCAAAATTATTTCTTTCAAATGTGTTGCATAGACAAGACCTTATAACAGACGAGGTATGTATTTAAATGATGCATTGACAAAATCGGTTGCAAACTGACAAAATCGATTCATGCAATTGTACGTTTGCAGCAAAGGATGACGAACGCGATCTGACTTTAGAGAAATGAAAAAAAAAAAAAAGAAGATTACCCATAACAGGCGCCATTATTTTAACCAACCAATAATTTATAATAAAGCTACCTCTTTCACTCCGCAGAAGTCGTCTTTAATGATGAGCAAGATGCTGTTCATGATGTCTCTGGATGTTGACAGGGGAGCGTATGGCGTACAGATGAGCCGTTAACCGATGAAGTATCTCCTGATTAAGGAAATAATCCACCATTCTGAGAAATGGTCTAAGTACAAAGTGAGGTGATTCTTTGCGACTACACACCGAGCAGCTTTGTCAGAAGCAGGAACTATCCTTGAAAATTCATCAGACCCTTTCGACAAGACACACAAAACAAAGGGGATCGTGTTATTTTGTAACGCAGTAAGCTGTCAACGCTCTGGGATTTACTTTAATTTTTTTTTTTTTTTTTTTTTTTTTTGTAAGGTAGATTTTATAAGGGGTCATTGTTTATTCGTGAGCAATTTCGTACACAAAAAATGTCAATTGCTGTTTTGTGATTGTCTATTAACAAATTGTTTAAAGTATTACATCATGCATAACACTTTTTTCATTCCCACAATTCCCCACGATCTTTCCACAAGAATCTGGAAAATGGCGGCTCTATGAACTATGCGACTTATACGTTATTCAAACACAAAGACGAAACATTTTCTTTGAATTTTCATTCTAATATAAGTTTATCAAGTAAAACTCAGTGAGGTAGAAAATTCTCAGATGAACATTAATATCGAAGTGAGGCCATAATATGATACCAAGAATAATAAGAAAAGATGTATTTTGTGTGAAGATCTCTGTCATAATTGTGATGGGTTCGTCGTGGCAGTCAGGGGCTATCTGCACTCTCACATCAAATTTTCCCCTATCCCATCCTCATTTCTTTTGTTTAACCAAAGAATATTAACCGATTGAATACACTCTAATATAATTAGTCGACGGTAATATTACTAAAAACAATAAGAAGTTTACCAGAGATCATTTCATTGCGATACCTCTCGCACTTTTGAAGGTAAGTTCATAGCTTTATTGCCGCAAATAATCAGTGGAAGATATGGACCTGTTACAGAGACTGCGCTGTGCGCAAAGTTGTCATTGATACTTAAAGCGGATTGCATCTTGCCAAGCGGATTATAACGTTTATTTCGCAGATACTAGCGGACTGGACAACTTCGAAGAAGTGACTGTATTTCGTGAGCCTAGCTAGTATAGATCTAGATCTAACACTAAACAGCAGCTACCCCGCAAATAATTGGTTTAAACAAGATCATCGTGGATTAACACTGAGAAAGTTGACCAACTGATTTTAAGGGGGCAGAACCCTTCTGCTCACTTTTATCCCCGGATCACACAATACCCCAACTGTTTATGTTATAGGCCTCTAACCTAATGGGCAATTATGAATTATGCCATGCTCATTGGATAGCATGGAAAATGTCTATACTTGGTTTTAATCCACTATTGCAGTAGTGGCATGAGGACTCTGACTGAGCGTTGAGTCACAGTGATCCAGGTCCATATTCAACATAGTTTCTCCTTAGCTTCCTAATCCTAGCCAGCCCCATTTGTTGATTTCATCATAATTTTATGTTCCATTTGAAAAGATGATTATCAAATCATGTTGATAATGAAGTTTACTAAAGTTTAATAAAAAAAGGTTGATCCTGGCAATGTTTTTTTTTTTCTTCTTTCATTTTGTGGATGAAATGTTAAGGGGATGATGGTTATAATATGATGATGATCCTGAAATGGTCGGTGATGATGTAAGAACAAAATTTTGTGACCTGTAAAGTCAAAACTGTATGACTGCCGGTTCTAAAGTGATGATGAATTCTTATGCAGAATTGAGAAATCGGTGTTAAACTTTGTGATGTTTGTCCGTTATTCATAACGGAGATCAGATTTGAAACTGTTACTGTCAAATTTTTTTTTTTTATCAAACAAGATCACAAAGTCCTTCGAGAAATCCAAGGGCAAAATCTATAATATACTAAGACGGGTTCAAGAATGTAGCCTATGGCAAACCTTTATTCAAGTCACGTGTTTATGATTTAATTTTTTCCATCACGCCCGGCTGTGCTATTCTTGTGCGGAAGCTATGCAAGCTCTGTGGAGTAGTCTTGATCTACGCATATCTCGTTTTGTTCAAAGTTCAGACGCGATGTAATGCACGTAAGTGACGTGATGGTTGCAACGTACCATGTGGTACATACCTTTGCCGGGTACCCATATAACACCTTGGTGGAGAATGCAAATTAAGATTTATGTCTTGCCAGAGATATATCGGTGCCGCAAAACGTGAATTCTGCGATCCACAGTCCGGTGACGTATCCACGAGACCACCACATCTCAACAGTTTGTGCACAAAGAAGAAGGCAACTTTAATATAGGATAAGCTTTTCTTCGGTTTATCGGTACGTCTTCAATTCAATATAAATCTAAAAGCGAATTAAAGAAGATTCGACGAAGAGAGGGAAATAAAATGAACGGAAGGGAAAGGAATTTATATGAAAATACGGGATCTATGGTAAAAGGGAGATCTTACCAGTCCTTCGGGTGTACAGCACAATTTCCGCCTTGTCTGGCTTGCTGAAAATAGCACTATGTGAGACCGTAACTTCCACCGGGTTTTAAACTGAAGACCAGGAGGGGAAAGCTTAAGCCCAACTGAGATGACAACTTCGTCTTTTTCCAGGTTTAAGTCAGGTGGAATACTTGGCAATGCTTCTGCTGTGATATATGTGGCTTTGTCCAGATCTTCGGGTGAAAGTAGAACCTTGATGCCATACTCGTCGAGACTTATAATCATTGTCTTTTCTTTGATGCTCTTTCTCGAGGAGATAGAGCTGTCTCGTGGACGGGTAAGATATGGATCGTATGGTCGCGAGGATTGGGGCATATAGCTAGGGAAAGCAGCACCACCAAAAGTACTGCGAAGGTAGTCATAGTGGTCCTCTTCAAACCCAATGAATGGCTCAACGATCTTTGTTGCTTCTTTATTCAAAAGATAGTCATGTATACCTAGATGGTTAAGAGCAAGGTGTGACAGTGTCCCGACGTCTTTGTCACATTTATCAAGCTGTGCCCCTTTACTAGTAAGGTATTTGACAATATCAAGATGACCCCTGAATGATGCAATGTGAAGAGCTGTAAACCCATCTTTATCACCCTTTTCAATGCCCGCTCCTTTGTCCACGATATACTCGACGACTTCAAGATGGCCTTCTTGAGAGGCACAAGACAAGGGTGTCCTGTCGTTTTTGTCACATCTATCAAGCTGTGCCCCTTTACTAGTAAGGTATTTGACAATATCAAGATGACCCTTCAATGATGCTATGTGAAGAGCCGTTAACCCATCTTTATCACCAATATCAATGCATGCTCCTTTGTCCACAATATACTCGACGACTTCAAGATGGCCTTTTTGAGAAGCACAATACAAGGGTGTCTTGTCGGTTTTGTCACGTTTGTCAAGCTGTGCCCCTCTCCTAACAAGATGATGAACTATTTCAACGTGTCCATTGGACGATGCAAGGTGGAGTGCTGTTAACCCGTCTCGATTACAGTTATCAACACTTGCTCCTACGTTTAGTAAGACCTCGACAATACCCAGATGGCCTCTTTTTGTTGCAATACACAAGGGTGTCATCCCGCTCCTGAGTGCTTTGTCAACCTCTACCCCTTCGTTAACGAGAACTTTGACAATGTCAAGGTGTCCCCCAAATGAAGCCAAACTAAGTGCGGTCCAACCATCGTCAGTGCTCCTATCCAGCTCTGCTCCTTGACTGGTTAGAAATTTCAGCCCATCAATACTACCAGTTTGTGATGCATTATGTAGTGCTGTACATCCAGCTTTACCACACGTGTTAATATTGGCTCCTTCCGTCAAAAGGTACTCTGCAATGTCAAGATGACCACCGTCTAAAGCCAGGAGTAGAGGTGTCCAGTAATCATTAGCTATTCTCTCCAGCGCTGCCCCTTTCCTAACAAGGGATTTGACAATATCAAGATGACCCTTCAATGATGCTCTGTGAAGAGCTGTAAACCCATCTTCACCACCAATATCAATGCCTGCTCCTTTGTTCACGATATACTCGACGACTTCAAGATGGCCTTCTTGAGAAGCCCAAAACAAGCGTGTCCTGTCGTGTTTGTCACATTTGTCAAGCTGTGCTCCTTTCCTAACAAGATATTCGACGATGTCAAGATGACCCTCCAATGATGCTCTGTGAAGAGCTGTTAACCCATCTTTATCACCAATATCAATGCATGCTCCTTTGTCCACAATATACTCGACCACTTTAAGATGGCCTTTTCGAGAAGCACAATACAAGGGTGTCTTATCGGTTTTGTCACGTTTGTCAAGCTGTGCCCCTTTCCTAACAAGATGATGAACTATTTCAACGTGTCCATTGGACGAGGCGATGTGGAGTGCTGTTAACCCGTCTTGATTACAGTTATCAATTTTTGCTCCTACGTTCAGTAAGACCTCGACAATACCCAGATGGCCGCTTTTTGTTGCAATACACAAGGGTGTCATCCCGCTCCTGAGTGCTTTTTCAACCTCTACCCCTTCGTTAACGAGAACTTTGACAATGTCAAGGTGTCCCCCAAGTGAAGCCAAACTAAGTGCGGTCCAACCATCGTCAGTGCTCCTATCCAGCTCTGCTCCTTGACTAGTTAGAAATTTCAGCCCATCAATATTACCAGTTTGTGATGCATTATGTAGTGCTGTACATCCAACTTTACCACACGTGTTAATATTGGCTCCTTCCGTCAAAAGGTACTCTACAATGTCAAGATGACCACCGTCTAAAGCCAGGAGTAGAGGTGTCCAGTAATCATTAGCTATTCTCTCCAGCGCTGCCCCTTTCCTAACAAGGGATTTGACAATATCAAGATGACCCTTCAATGATGCTCTGTGAAGAGCTGTAAACCCATCTTCACCACCAATATCAATGCCTGCTCCTTTGTTCACGATATACTCGACGACTTCAAGATGGCCTTCTTGAGAAGCATAAGACAAGGGTGTCTTGTCGTTTTTGTCACATCTGTCAAGCTGTGCCCCTTTACTAACGAGGTATTTGACAATATCAAGATGACCCCTGAATGATGCAATGTGCAGAGCTGTCAACCCATCTTTATCACAAAATGCAATGCCTGCTCCTTTGTTCACGATATACTCGACGACTTCAAGATGGCCTTCTTGAGAAGCCCAAAACAAGCGTGTCCTGTCGTGTTTGTCACATTTGTCAAGCTGTGCTCCTTTCCTAACAAGATATTCGACGATGTCAAGATGACCCTTCAATGATGCTCTGTGAAGGGCTGTTAACCCATCTTTATCACCAATATCAATGCATGCTCCTTTGTCCACAATATACTCGACCACTTTAAGATGGCCTTTTTGAGAAGCACAATACAAGGGTGTCTTGTCGGTTTTCTCACGTTTGTCAAGCTGTGCCCCTCTCCTAACAAGATGATGAACTATTTCAACGTGTCCATTGGACGATGCAATGTGGAGTGCTGTTAACCCGTCTTGATTACAGTTATCAATTTTTGCTCCTACGTTCAGTAAGACCTCGACAATACCCAGATGGCCTCCTCCTGTTGCAAGACACAAGGGTGTCATCCCGCTCCTGAGTGCTTTGTCAACCTCTACCCCTTCGTTAACGAGAACTTTGACAATGTCAAGGTGTCCCCCAAATGAAGCCAAACTAAGTGCGGTCCAACCATCGTCAGTGCTCCTATCCAGCTCTGCTCCTTGACTGGTTAGAAATTTCACCCCATCAATATTACCAGTTTGTGATGCATTGTGTAGTGCTGTACATCCAGCTTTACCACACGTGTTAATATTGGCTCCTTCCGTCAAAAGGTACTCTGCAATGTCAAGATGGCCACCGTCTAAAGCCAGGAGTAGAGGTGTCCAGTAATCATTAGCTATTCTCTCCAGCTCTGCCCCTTTCCTAACAAGGGATTTGACAATATCAAGATGACCCTCCAATGATGCTCTGTGAAGAGCTGTAAACCCATCTTCACCACCAATATCAATGCCTGCTCCTTTGTTCATGATATACTCGACGACTTCAAGATGGCCTTTTTGAGAAGCCCAAAACAAGGGTGTCCTGTCGTTTTTGTCACATTTGTCAAGCTGTGCTCCTTTCCTAACAAGATATTCGACGATGTCAAGATGACCCGCTAATGATGCTAGGTGAAGAGCCGTTAACCCATCTTCATCACCAATTTCAATGCCTGCGCCTTTGTTCACGATATACTTGACGACTTCAAGATGACCTTCTTGAGAAGCACAACACAAGGGTGTCCTGTAGGTTTTGTTACATTTGTCAAGCTGCGCCCCTTTCCTTACAAGGTATTCGACAATGTCAAGATGACCCTGGAATGATGCTCTGTGAAGATTTGTAAACCCATCTTTATCACCAATATCAAAGCATGCTCCACTGTTCACGACATACTCGACGACTTCAAGATGGCCTTCTTGAGAAGCATAAGACAAGGGTGTCCTGTCATTTTTGTCACATTTGTTAAGCTGTGCCCCTTTACTAGTAAGGTATTTGACAATATCAAGATGACCCTTCATTGATGCTCTATGGAGAGTTGTTAACCCATCTTCATCACCAAATTCAATGTCTGCTCCTTTGTTCACGATATACTCGACGACTTCAAGATGGCCTTCTTGAGAAGCATAAGACAAGGGTGTCCTGTCATGTTTGTCACATTTGTCAAGATGTGCTCCTTTCCTAACAAGATATTCGACGATATCAAGATGACCCGCTAATGATGCTATGTGAAGAGCCGTTAGCCCATCTTTATCACCAATTTCAATGCCTGCTCCTTTGTTCACGATATACTCGACGACTTCAAGATGACCTTCTTGAGAAGCACAAGACAAGGGTGTCCTGTCGGTACCGTCACATTTGTCAAGCTGTGCCCCTTCGTTAACGAGAACTTTGACAATGTCAAGGCGTCCCCCAAATGAAGCCAAACTAAGTGCGGTCCAACCATCGCCAGTACTCCTATCCAGCTCTGCTCCTTGACTGGTTAGATATTTCACCCCATCAATATTACCAGTTTTTGAAGCAATATGTAGAGCTGTATATCCACCTTTAACACATGTGTTAATGCTTGCTCCTTCTGTCAACAGGTACTCTGCAATGTCAAGATGGCCACCGTCTAAAGCAATGAGTAGAGGTGTCCAGTAATCAATAGCAAGTCTCTCCAGGTCTGCCCCTTTACTAACAAGGTATTTGACAATATCAAGATGACCCTCCAATGATGCTATGTGAAGAGCTGTAAACCCATCTGTGTCACCAACATCAATATCTGCTCCTTCGTTCACCAACAGCTCTACCGCACGAATATGGCCCTTTTTTGAGCATAAATGAACCGATGTCTGTAGTTTAGCATCGACCGCATTCACCTTTGCTCCATGATTGGTAAGGCATTTAACCGTTTGCAAATGTCCGTTTTCCGAAGCAATGTGGAGGGCCGTCTTGCCAGATACATCCGAGCAGTTTACATCAACTCCTCCCGAACCCTCTGATCTGTCCTCCGAGTCAATTAATGATTGTATCTTCAGGAAGTCTCCTTTTGCTGCTGCTGAAAACAGCGCCATGTTAACCGCAATTCACACCCACAACGTTTTTCTGATAATGATATTTCCGTGCTCTCAAAACACAATGTTGCTTGTTGACACTGAACTACTGTGTATATAAGGCCGTACCCTTTAGTAGCGATGACATTTGGTCTATTCTGAAGAAGCAATCAAGCGTGATTATGTGAAAGCATTCTATAAATTGGACTTTGCATTCATATCCATATTCGGCTTCACAAGTCTGACTACGTTACTGTATAATGTATTGCAACAATACAGCACTATAATAGCCTTGCCATTTCTCTGTATTTTGGGGGCCTAAAATATACCTGGTTTCAGATTTGCGCGGAATAAAAAGTACATGGCGGGAAAATATCTCATTGAGGCCTCGTTCATAACCAGTGCTGTAGCTATAAGGTGACGTAACCCCCCCCCCCCCCCTCCCCACCTCCCTCCAAAGGAGCTTGCTTTGATATGTGATAAAGATGGGTTAAAAGAAAATCATATTTCTAGAAAGTTAATTTTCTGCCCTTTTATATGACGCCTCAATTAGGAAAAATGAACCAGGAATAACAAAGTTCTGTTTGTTTAAAGTAATGATTGCATTTTCATAATTTGATTAAACGAATTCGTTTTCACTGGCTGCCTGCCGTACCAACGAACAGAGTTGACAAAAGTTAACTCCGTTTCGTTAAAGATCATAATGGTGTCTTTCGTCTTCTTTTTCTCTTTCTACTTTTCCGTATGTTACTCTTTGCTTGTATCCTTCTATCATTTCCTCTTTCTATCTTCATTTTTTTAATTCTTTGTCTTCCCTTCTATCTTCTGTTCTTTCTATCTTTCCTTTTATTGTTTTATGTTTTTATCCTTCTATCTTATTTTCCTATCTCTCATTATGTTATTCTTTGTTTTTATATTTCTATCGTTTCCTCTTTCTATCTACAGCATTACATAAGGAAAGGTAGCTATATCATTTGGCGGCCTCCAGATAATTCTGTCTTCCATATGCTATGTTGCTTTACTTCTATCGTCTTATCTTTATAATGCATGAATGCAAAGTAGGTATTGCCTGGGAAATCAGGCTACACATGAAGAGAAAATATAAACAAATATTCATTTTCACCATTAAAGTTCTTGTAATATTTTAAAACAGGCTGAGGTATGATTCAAAGCACTAGCTGACATTAAAAGGCGGACGTGGTTTATTTTAAAACGCTCAAGAAATGCCTGAAATACAGGCGCGGGTCCAGGGGGCCGAGCGTGCATTGCCCCCCCCCCCCCCCAACCACCCCCGCCAACAAATGAGAGAGAGATTTATTTATTTTTTTATTTTTTTATTATAGTTTTATTTTAACAGGGTGGTCTCATTCAAGTTCATTTCTGAGCCTGCTCTCCCAGAGAGCCCTGTATTCACATAAAAAAAACATGTACAATAATAACATGAATTCAAAACATACATACAAAGGTAAAATATACATGGTGTGTACAATAATTAAACATGGGTAACGAAAAACACGCATTAACAATAAATTATAAGGAAAAAAATTACAACTATCAAATTGAAAAAACTAGATGAATGAAATGTAATAAATAAAGGTCAAATTAACGTGAAAATATGTTTACAAGGGAAACTGAAAGGTTTTGACATTCTTTTTAAAACTTTGCAGCGACTTACAATTTTTAATATGATAGGGTAATTTATTGTATATTTTAGCTCCTGAAACCGCTAAGGTTTTCGTTTTAAAATTTGTTTTACACTTTGGAATGAATAATGGACTGTTTAAAGCATAACGAGTAGAATATAATATCGGTCTTTTACTTATACATGGATTAAGATATGGTGGTGATAGGTCGTTTATGATTTTAAAAATCAAGATGCATTTCTGATATTTAATTCTTTCCTCTAATGACCGCCATTTCAATTTACTCATTAAAACATTTTGGGGTGTAAAATATTCGGCACGAAGAACTAATCGTGCATATCTATTTTGTAATTTTTGCAACTTTGTTAGATTTTGTTTCGAAGTATTTCCCCATACTGAATTACAGTAGTTTAAATGCGGTAGGATAAGAGAATAGTATAATGTAATAAGATTCTTACGGGAAATATAATTGCGTATACGTCTAATGCAGGCAATCGTACCCGATCAGGCGCGTACACAGGGGGGGTGTTTGGGGGGGTTAAACCCCCCCCTTTGGTAATTTTTTGTGTGTAAACCCCCCCCCCCCTAAATTTCTCTAAACCCCCCCCCCCCCTTTTGGATTTTTTTTTTTTTTTTTTTTTTTTTTTTTATTTAAAAAAAAAAAAAAAATTCCCATGGTTGACCTAAAAAGCTGACCTTACCCCCCCCCCCCCAACGGAGCAAAATGTCAAATTTTCAAATATCGAGACCACAAAAAAAAAAAATGTGTCCTCTTACCCCCCCCCCCCCCCCCCCCCCCCCCCCCCCCCCCCCCCCCCCCCCCCCCCCCCAGCGGTCGGCTGAGTCGTTGCGATTTTTTTGGCACCAAAAAAAAAAAAAAAAAGTGACCTCTTACCCCCCCCCCCCCCCGCTTATTCAGCGGCTGGCTGAGTCGTTGCGAAATTTTCGGCCCGATATATAAATGTTAAACCCCCCCCCCCCCCTTGAAAAAATCCTGCGTACGCGCCTGTACCCGATACTTTCTTAACAACTTCTTTTACATGTAACGACCATGTTAAGCTTTTGTCTAGTGTTACACCTAGATATTTCATACTTTCGATTATTTTGAATTTTTCTTTTGGAACCAAATAGTATTGTTTTGGTTTTATTTGCATTTAAAAACAGTCCATTGTATTTTAGCCATTTCAAGATACGGGTAAAATCTTTTTGGAGATTGTATTCACAAACTTTATAATCCTTTCCATGATGAAATACTGCCGTGTCATCTGCATATAAGGAAATCTTTGTCTTAGAATGGAGTTGCAGGTTACAAATATCATTCACATAGAGGCAGAAAATTAATGGCCCCAGTATTGATCCTTGTGGAATTCCTGATTTCACAGTTAGAAAATTACTCTTAGTCCCTTGCAAGAATACACATTGTTGCCTATTAGATAGATAGGATTCGAACCACTCAAGTTCAACTCCCCCAATACCATACAATAACATTTTCTTAATAATCAATGGATGTGGTATAACGTCGAACGCCTTTTTCAGGTCAAGAAAATGGCTCCAGTGACCAGACCTTTGTCCATATTGTCAAGTATACCTTCGACTATTTCAGTCAAGCATGTTAGAGTTGAATGCCCTGGTCTAAAACCTGATTGCCGTTCACTTAACAAAGAATGTTTGTTTAAGTAAGAGTATATCTGATTGTGCACTGCTTTTTCAAATATCTTTGACATTGTGGGGAGAATGGAAATAGGTCGGTAGTTAGTTAATTCCATTTTGTTTCCACCTTTATGAATAGGGGTTATTTTAGCAAGTTTAAAGTCATGAGGAACGTACCCTTTTGACAATGAACAATTGAACAATACTGTTAAGACTCTAACAATATGTGGGGCAGCTATTTTAAGTAGCTTTGGAGGAAGATCATCAATACCAACTGCTTTTGAAACATCAAGCTTGAGTAGTTCTTTTAATACAAAACATTCCTCGATCTCTGTAAATTTGAATTCATGTGCTGTTTGCGGTAATGTTTGCATTGCATTTATATTGAGATGAGAATCATTCGCTCCTGTTAGTTGGCTTTGAATATTGTTGAAACTTTCATTAAACAATTCTGCTACTTTTTCTTTGTCTACTACAATTTGGTCATTTACAAGAATTTTATGATCAGAATTGGCATCTTTCTTTGGGAGTAAGTCTTTGAGTACTTTCCAGGATTTTTTCATATCATTACCATTTTCAATGCAAAGATTCTTATAATATTGTTTCTTTAACTTCTTGTTCAGTACATTTGCCCTATTTCTGAATTCTTTAAACTTTTCCCAGTAGTCTGTAGTTCTGTGTTTATCAAATTTGCATTTAAAATAATTCCTATCTCTTGCGATACATAAATATTCGTTGGTAATCCAAGGTGACCCCCTAGAACGTTTTCTTACTGTGACATACGGTGCATGAAGATCACAAATGTCTTTGAATTTACATTTGAAAATATTCCACATATTCTCAACATTGTGATTGTTTAAGTACAAACTATCCCAGTTTATATCTTTAACATCATTTTTGAAAGAATTTTCATTAAAGTTTCTAAATGAACGGTAGGTACTCACAGAACATATAGAGGGCGGTGGTTTTTCTTTCAATACAAGGTATATCAATAAATGATCACTTAGACCGATAGACCGTGTGCCACTCTCCAGTGATTTCAAATTATTTGACACAAGAATTAGATCAATAAGGGTTGTACTATTAACGGTTATACGTGTCGGGGTCCTTATCAGCTGAGACAAATGCATATTGTCACTCAGATCATGTATCTGCTTTGAAAGATTATTCTGAGTTACCATATTACAATTTAAATCACCTAATATTACAATATCATTTGATAACATACATATATTTTCTAAATTAATTTCTAGGTTATTGAAAAAAGCACTTCTACTGTTAGGTGGACGATATACAACTCCAAGATACTTTGGTTTGTGATTGTGTAGTCTTATCTCTAGCCACATAATTTCTAACTCACGGTCTTCAAGATCAGGTCGTCTAATATATTATGATATATTTTTTTGTATAAAACATCCAACTCCTCCTCCCTTTTCGTCTCTATCTAGTCTTTCAAAATGATACCCATCAATTTGTAACAATGAATTACAAATGTTTTCACTTAGCCATGTTTCTGACAAGGTCAGAATTTCGTACGGATTTTCTTTCAAATATAATTGCAGATCATCCACCTTATTTCTAAGACTACGAATATTTAAATGTGCAATTTTCAATCCTTTACCCTTTGGAAAGTCATTTATAGAGGTACAGGTATTCGTACTTAAGTCAATGTCTATATCAACAGAATTTGTATGGTTCAAGCTCACATTTCTATCTTTTACTATATCC